CCAAGACTTGTTAACTTCATGCAGCAAGGGGTGCATATATCATGCTACAAGAGGAGCGTGATTGGTTGATTTAAATTAGGATTTATTTCTAATTCAAAAATCACTTAATTGGTTTTATCTTAGAAGATTTAATGAATCCTCTTAGATTTTCCCTTATCATGAAATTGAAGAACATTTCTCCAAATTTGAATTTGCAATTCAAATTGACTAATGGGGCTTGAATAGATTCAAATTCAAATGGGTTCTAGAACCATTTGAATTTTGTGCCTATCATAAAGCAGGAGAACTTTTCTTTACATTTGAATTCGAAATTCAAATGTCCTATGGAGCTTTCACTAAGTATTTGAATTCAAATGGGTTTTAGAATATTCCATTTGAATTTTTTTATCATCCTCATCCTCTCCTGATTGCTGTTTGATCAACAACTTCATTTGAATTTCAAATTCAAATGATTAAGTTGTTTCATGAAGTTCTATCTAATCACTATTGGATAATGCTTTATTTAAATTGGATAATTCATAATTATTCTTATCCACTTAATCTCTTGAATTTAAATTTAAACTTTAAATTCAAATTCATTCTTATTCAAGCTCTTAATTTAAATCGAAATTCAAAGTTCAAAATTTGAATTCAAATTAAGAATTTCGCTAAAACTCATTTTGACCAGTCAACTCCTTGACATACTAGGACCCATGGTCCAAAACCTTATTAGACCTTCTAACACATTGGGCCTATTAGCAGAGAAACCAATTTCAACACCAAAACCCAAATAGGGCGCATTGTTCATATGGGCTTGGAGTCTCATTCCAACCTAATTCACTCATAGTCTCAGTTAAACCCAATAACATATTATTAGCCCAAACATGTTATAACATGCCATTAAGAACAATATTGGTGTGTGACCCATTAGGCCTAACTAGTCACTGATATAGAAAAACATGAACCAATTAAACTCCTTTAACGAGCTGAATTTATCAAATGAGCACATAAGACACTAGCAATTCTCTGTAACCGCAGAACTAATTGAGTTGATCAAGTGATCTACCTTTATAGTTTAGATATCGTGCCAACATCATCCTTCGTACAATCATTCATATTTAGTTGAGAGCAAAGGTATAGTGTCATCTCTCTTGTGACTAAATGAAGGTTTTCACAAAACTAAGAATCTTCTTCTATAAACTCTAAGGTGGATCCATGAGTCTTTATGATCCCTTACTGTGCACAGATTCCTAAGTCTAATAGAAGTCATCCAAACCCTACCAGTCTTGTGAACGATTAATACCTGAGTCTAATCAGAACTATGAGTTTTATCGGCATGTCCATCTATACTCATGTATTCGAGTTATACTCAAGAGTACACTATTATCCCCGTTTTCAGGAGGATAGAGTCGTACAGTCAAAGTATAACCTTAGGACATAATGTTCAATGACATCCTCATGTCAAGGATAATCCACACTACCAAACGATGAGAGACATCACAAATCTAATGATATTCTCTACAATGATTCATTGTGGAGTCTCTTAGCGAGTTAGTTTAGCGCCATATGTTCTCTAACAAATCCACCCACGACATCACCTAAGACATCACCATGCTTGCATTCCATAAGATCTCTACCTTGTATGTAACATCCTAGTGGCTGAAGAGGACGGGGAGTGATCGCCGGTGCAGAGAGGCACAGACAAGGAACGACTCCTGGTAGGCTCCCAATGGAGGGGTACATGAATGAATCGAATACACACTCCCGAAAGAGAGGGATTCCAAAGACTGTACAGATATAGGACTCTACAGTTGGGGATAACTTATAAGAATTAATTGGTACTACCTAGACTAACAAATGCATCTATTTTTCGGTAGTCCAGAACTGAAGAACTCTATAGTTTAGCGTGCTTAACTTAGAGAAATTCTGCGATAGGTGACCTTTTGGGAAGTTTTTCTAAGAAGCGTGTGAGTGAGGACAAAGCACGCCGAAAAGTCTTATGTTAGTTTGAGGGGACATTAATTGATTCTTGAAGCGGTTAGGCGTTACAAGTGGTATCAGACCAGGACCTCTCTCCCAGTACGGTATGGTTCGAGCACGAACCAGGTGGAAGCTGGTGGGCATGTAACATCGCGGTGGCTGACGAAGGTGGGAAGTGATCGCCGGTGCAAAAAGACACAGACAAGGAGCGGGTCCTGGCAGGCTTCCAACGGAGGGGTACATGAATGAATCAAATACACACCCAAAAGAGAGGGATTCCAAAGACTGTATAGGTATAAGACTCTACAGTTGGGGATAACTTATAAAAATTAATTGGTAATAGCTAGACTAACAAGATGCATCTATTTTTCGATAGCCTAGAACGAAAGGACTCCATAGTTAAGCGTGCTTAACTTGAAGAAATTCTGGGATGGGTGACCACCAGGGAATTTTTCATAGGAAGTGTGTGAGGAAAGCACGCCGAAAAGTCTCGCATTAGTTTGTGGGGACAGTCATTAATTCTGGAAGCGCTATTCCATAGGCCTTTATCTTTAAACGCATATTAACTATAAACAAGGCGACACAAAATTTGATAAAGATAAAGTATACTCAAACTAAATAAATCATGAAATACTAAAATAGTAAAATGTGTATATATACCTAAACAGATTGTTTCTAGGACACCTACATACTAATAACATTTACCTCTCGTTCTCACTCTCTTTTTTATTCAATGATGGCACTATATCGTTTAACCTTAACCTTATGCAAATTCTTCCCACTAACCTCCTCCTAGTATCTTATAATCTTTATTTTCTTTTCTTTTCTCATCGCCTCTTTCATAAAAGGCTTAAGATTTATGTAATATTTTCTTTTCTTTTCTCTTTACCTATAGTATATATAATTTGTTAGGATTTATGAATTTTTTTTCTTAAGATTCATGTAATTTTTTTTTAGAATTTACGTCTTCTTTTTTTTTATAGAATTTATGTATTACTTTTTTTATCTCTTAGACTAGAATTTTTGCAATTTTCTTTCTTCCTCAATAAAATGTATGGAAGAGATAAAAAAATAGATAAAATAAATTCTTTTTAAATTTATTAATAATTTTCGCCTTCAACTTTAAATCCAACTGAATTAATTTTTATTTAGAAAAAGTACAAAACCCCCTATAGTTTTGCTTTAAATTACTTATACCTTTGTGCTTTTTTCAATCACTTACCACCTTTGATTTTTTTCATCCAACTACATCCTTAACACCGTTATAAACTTAACTAATCTACCTATTTCATCTTTCTTAGAAGAAAAATAATTAGATATGTTGGAAACATACAATACTTACATAAAAGATTAAAATTAAAAAATAGAAGAAAGAAGCTAAATATGTCTAAATCAAGAAGATAATCTAAGGACAAAAAATAGAGAGAGAAAAAATCAATTATGTTAAAAAACTTACATCATTGACAAAAAGATTAAAATAAAAAAAAACATAAGAATAATCTTAATCAAAAAGGAGAAAATATACCGAATAGAAATAGAAGAAAAAATAATACAAAATAAAAATAGAAGAAAAAATAAGATAAAAAATAAGACAAAAAAATAGAAGAAAAATAAATCAGTATGGTAAGTTTCTAATATATTTTTTTCTATTTCTATTGTGTCTTCCGTCTATTTTCTTTCTTTTATTTTTTATATATTATTTTGTAATACTATTGTAAGTTTCTAACATATTAGGTCATATTTTTTCTTAATTTTTTATCCTCAATTTATTTTCTTTTTTTAATTTAAAATATATGGTTTTTTTGTTTGTTTTTTTACTTTTATCCTTTTATATGAATATTATAAGTTTCCAATATATTTTGACTTATTTTTCTTCTATTTTTTTCATTTTTTATTATCAATTTATTTTTTATTCTTAAAAGGGTAAAATATGCAATTCATTAAGTTTCTAATAATGTTAATGATGGATTTGGATAAAAGAAGGAACATTATTTTCTCATGTAATAGAAAATAACTTTTTTATATTGTGAGATATCGAAATTCGTGTTATTCTTTTTATATTTTATAATAAACGGTGGGTCTCATTATTTATTGTGTTTATGACATAAGAAATGTTATTTCATATAACATGAAAAAATAAAAGCTCTAAAAAAATCGCAGGAATAAATGATTAAAAAAAATATTTTGGGGTAAATGATTTAAAAAATCTATTTATCTCATGCAACATAGACAAGATAATAAGGTCCATTATTTTTTCAAAAAACAAAAATAATAGACTTTACTATTTTGTATTTATTGTATGAAATAATTATCTCAAGTAATATGAGAGAATGATTTTAAGGGAGATTAATGTGAACTTTTCCGGTTTTATTCAATTGACGTGTCAAATCCGAAGCGTAAATATCGCAAAATAAATGCTTACTAAAAATAGAAAAAATTGAGGTTCGTCGTACATAATTTGAATTAATATCTGATGACATAGAAGGAAAATCAAATTTTATGGACAACGTGCTAATAGCAATGCGTGGTGAGACAAATCTAATGGTACAAATGAATTAACCTCAGCCAGCTCATCATCACATTCATCCTCAGCTACAGCTACAACACTCTCAAACTTTGTCGCTTTCTATGTTTTTCTCTTTATCTATTCTTCTTGCACAAAATCAGGATCCTCTTCGAGAGATCAAAAACCACAGCATATATTACAAGGATCCTCAAACAGATCAAAGACTTGGTGAATGATCACTGATGGGTCGTTTACAAGATAAGTTTTTGTCCTTCTACAAGAGTAGATGGCTAGTCTTTGTGGCTGCAATGTGGTTGCAATCATGGGCTGGTATTGGGTACTTGTTTGGTAGCATATCACCTGTGATAAAGAGATCCCTTAACTATAATCAGAAGCAGCTTGCTATGTTGGGTGTGGCTAAGGACCTTGGTGACTGTGTTGGGTTCATTACTGGGGTGTTGTGTGAGATATTGCCTATCTGGGGTGCTCTGCTTGTTGGGGCAGGTTTGAACTTTATTGGGTATGGTTGGGTTTGGTTGATTGTCACTGGTAGAGTTTCAACTCTCCCTTTATGGGCTGTGAGTATTTTCTGTTACCTTACTTAATTTTGGAATGTTTTGATTTATTATTCATCACTTGGGATGATCAATTTAATTGGTTTGTACTGGTTTGACTTTGTTTTATTTGGGTTGTTGGTGTTATTGTCAATCATGAGATGGTATCTCTCTCTTGATTTTGTTTGATTCATACATGGATTTTTCTTATACAAACACTGATTGACCATAAAAAAACAATTTTGAACTCCTCAAAATTTTGTTTTTTTTCTTGCTTTGTATGTACTTTCTTTTCTTTGATGAGTAGCAACTAGCTTATTCTGAAATGATCTGAGCTGCTGGATTCCTTTTACTTGAACTGATTTTCAAATTGATGTGTTTTGTTTTCAAATGGAATGTTTCTGATCCCCCATTTCTTTTTCTTCTCACTGAAATAAGATTTCCAGTTTCTTCTTCCATTTCTCTCTTTGATTTTTGTTGATACCTGGTTTCATGTCCACTTGACTGTATATTAAAATTCAACTTTTTAATAAAGAAGCTTTATGACATGAACCTCTGGAATAAAGGGCTGTTTCTTCGACATGAAAAGGAAGGACTTTAAATCTAAAGGTGTCACGACATAATCATTGTTAGACTCAAATAACTTTGCCTTTTACAGCCATGTCCTTTTAAATAAATATTCCATGTCTACCTTCTGAAAACCAAAAACAGTTTTTAAAAACAGTTATCAAACAGAGCCTTTAACTTTCAGTTTTTTTTTTTTTTTTTTTTTGTGTTTTTTGTATTTTTGTTCCCCCCGTAATGGTAATCTGTCGGCCCAGCCCTCTTCTTGGATGCAATCTCTCCATTTGTATATTATATTCCCTTTTATGCTTACTTCAAATTTGGCTGTTAAACATCAAATTACCAGCTTAATGATTTACAACCTGCTTTTAAAGTAGTGAAAATGAAGTGTATAAATTGTGGTGCTTAACCTACCCAAGATCTTGAAAATCCTCCCTCCCGATGGAATGGTACGATACCACTGGCTACGAAACCTAAAAGGGCATTGTTGCAAGAATTTTATAATTTATGAAATTTCACTCTGCTCAATTTGGTTATTCTAGACTGCCTTTTCCTTTCTAGTGCTCTTTGGTATATTGCACTTAGGAAAATGTATACGCATTAATCTTTAGTAAGTTCTAACGTAATTAATATGCAATATTTCTTTAGATAGTTTTGATGATTTATATTAAAATTGGCAACATACTACTTAAAAGTTGTGTCTACAAATATAGAGTTGGGACTGTAGGAGTGACCCCAATTAAAAAGTAAGGATGTGAATGAACTTTCCTGAATGTTGCTAGTCAAGGCATGAGTAATTTTGGTTTTGATTGAAGATGTAGTTTGGTGGTCGGTCAGAAGAACAGAGATTTTGAGTTTGCGTGGCCTTATTAAGAGCTAGCCTAATATATGCAAGTTGTGGAGGTGCCCTTATTCCTCTTACTGATATCTTATAGTTTGATATCTCATCACTCTTGTTAATGTGTCAAGATGTTGTAAGTGTATATTTCATGACAATGCAATCATAAGAAAATCAACATATGCACCTTTACTACATTAAGAGATGTCTTTCAATGATATTTATTTACCATATTTCCCATGTTTGGTGATTAATGATTATTGGTATGCAGATGTGTGTTCTTATATTTGTGGGAACAAATGGTGAAACCTACTTCAACACAGTTTCTCTGGTGTCTTGTGTGCAAAATTTCCCCAAGAGCCGGGGTCCTGTGGTTGGAATTCTAAAGGGCTTTGCTGGGTTGAGTGGTGCTATCTTGACACAAATATATGCAATGGTACATTCCCCTGATCATGCATCCTTAATATTTATGGTTGCTGTAGGTCCAACATTGGTAGCAATAGGTCTCATGTTCATTGTTAGACCTGTTGGAGGTCACAAACAAGTTCGACCATCAGATGGAAAAAGCTTCACATTTATCTACAGTGTGTGCCTTGTATTGGCTGCTTATTTGATGGGAGTCATGGTTGTCCAAGATCTAGTTCCTCTGAGTGAAACTGTTATCACAATGTTTACAGTTATTCTCTTCATTATCCTACTTATACCAATTGTCATTCCTATCTGGTTGAGTTTTGGCTCAGAGCAAAAAACTCCAGAAGAAGAAGCACTTATTCCAGAACCACACAATAAAGAAGCAGGAAAATCTCAAATTGATGCTGATGAAGTAATATTAAGTGAGCTTGAAGATGAGAAGCCTAAGGAAGTGGACTTGCTCCCTGCATCAGAAAGGCAGAAGCGTATAGCTCAATTACAATCAAGACTACTCCAAGCTGCTGCAGAAGGAGCAGTGAGGGTCAAGAGGAGGAGAGGACCACATAGAGGAGAGGATTTTACCTTGAGACAAGCTTTGGTTAAAGCAGACTTTTGGCTTCTTTTCATTTCCATGGTTTTAGGTTCTGGATCCGGGTTGACTGTAATTGACAATCTGGGTCAGATGAGCCAGTCTCTAGGATATGACAATACCCATATATTTGTCTCCATGATCAGTATTTGGAACTTTCTTGGCCGTGTTGGAGGGGGTTACATATCTGAGGCTGTTGTGAGGTAAAAACCAGTTCATACAATGATCAAATATTTTAGTGTGTTTTATATTTATATCCCTATAAAGCGAGTCTTGGAGCAGCAGTAAGGTTGCTCCTTATGACCGTACAATCGATCCTCAACCTTATCCTCGCAAGTCGAGAGCTTTGTGCACCGAGGTTTGCCTTTATATCCCTATAAAGACTTTTAACTTGATTTTCAAATTCCATTGTGTCTTACTTGAGCAGGGATCATGTTTATCCAAGACCAACTGCATTGGCTGCATTTCAACTTGTTATGACTGTTGGGCATGTTTTCATTGCAATGGGATGGCCAGGGGCAATGTATGTTGGCACTTTACTTGTTGGACTTGGTTATGGGGCTCACTGGGCAATTGTTCCAGCCACTGCCTCTGAGTTGTTTGGTTTGAGAAACTTTGGTGCATTATACAATTTCATTACTCTGGCAAACCCTGTAGGAACTCTTGTCTTCTCTAGTCTCATTGCCAGCAGAATCTATGATTATGAAGCAGAGAAACAAGCTCATCTTCATCATAACCAGAACATAGGATCATTTATGTCGCGTGTGCTTCAAGTTGGTGAGCCACTAAAGTGTGAAGGTTCCATATGCTTTTTCTTGACTTCCATTATCATGGCAGGATTCTGCATTGTTGCAGCAGGCTTATGCATGGTTCTTGTATTCCGAACCAAGATTGTTTATGCCAACTTATATGGAAAATCTTCAACAAGTAGGCTTCGATAATTCTGCATTGTAGTCTTTTGTTACATGCATTCTTTTCAAAGTATTGTAGCTGGTTTGAATTCAAGAAAGATTGAAGATGTAGAAGAACCAAGCATCTGAAGCTGCCTTGATGGTGAAAAACCAAAGAAGGGGGGAATTTAAAACAAAAGAAAAAGGGAAAACAAAAACGAAGTCTTTGTTAAAGGGGGTGTTTTGCCATTAGCCGCTACCACATAGTTATGTGTATTCTTTTCCAAATATTTATGTGTTGTATTCTTTTCTTTTACAAGTAAACGTTTGATTGGCGTTGGACACTTGTTGGTTTCTCCTCTTTTTCTATCGGAAAACCTACAATATATTTCCCCTTGTATTGTTACTAAGAAAACTAAAATTTGTTCTTATAAGTGGTTATGGTATCTGATAGAGCATATTTATCTACAAAATGTCCTACTCCTTTTACAAGCAGTTTTAAGGTACTTATTGATTATTTTTATATATACTTTTATTAATTAATGGGTTATGATTATTTTATATTGTTGTAAGTTATATTCTTAATTTTAACCGTTTATCCTTAATTTATTGTTGTAGAAATGGATGACCATGAAATAAATTAACCAGATTAACTACCGAGATTGACAAAAAAATGTGCTGCAAGTACAAAATTAACTTTAAATTTTGGGTTTTGTTAAAGTGTACTCAAATCACATAATAAATAACTCATTTATTCTAAAGTAGTTGAGATTAATAGCAGGTAAACTCCCCTGACAAGCAAAAAAAAAAAATTAGAGGTAGAAAAAAATTAAAATAAAATAAAAAATAAAATCAGAGAAAAAATAAATAGAAATTTAAATTAAAAAATAAAAAATAGAATAAAAATAAAGATAAATAAGGAAAAAATATATAAGAGAAAAAATAAAAAAGATAAAAAATAAAAAATTGAGAGCTAAAGAAAACATTAAAGGAAAATATAGGAAAAAATGACTTATTAATTATTAATTATTTATTTTAAATATTGAAAAAATATTAAATAGTTATAGTTTTTAGGTTAATTTTCTTAATATGTACACTAGCGACACTCGTTAACAAAATCTTCGAATTTTATGCTTCTTTTATTAACATATAGTTCAAATCGTGCGCTGTGTGCAACGGAAAAAGATTTTTCAAAGTGAGTTTGATCTTCACTTTTAACTTTCAACTTTTAATGATTTAAAAATTGCGATAAACTTCATATTAAATTAACTATAAACATAAAATTACTTTAAAAGACTATGTGAAATGATAACTGACTTGGGTATCGAAATGTTATTTTCAAGTAAACGTACCAGCTTTTATGAACATGGACCAGCTGATAGCATGTGTTGGCTAAAGAAAATCGATTGAACAAAGACAATTGAAATGAAATGTCAAATTCATCACATAATAGTAGACATCGCCTTATTGGATGGTTGTCGAGAACTTTTCAAAATGTCTATCGACATATATTAAGTTGATTGAAGGTGGAATGAAGATTGTTTTGGTGGTGCGACATGACAAGTGAGGTTTTAACATTTTGACAACCCAATAATTAACTGCCAAAGAAAATATATTTCAGCAGTTACCTTACCAGATTTTTATGATCGTTAACTACTAGCAGTTTTAGATTAATGCATGACAAGTAATTTAGATCATGGTGCACTGTTGTACATTCATGTTACAAGTAAAGTTTAAGTTTACTATTTGTGATACAAAGATATTGGTCCATCTAGTTGTTTTTACGGGATAACCAGTGACGGAGGATTACGATTAATGAGTTAAAGCTACACAAATCATAGCAAGTGTATATGATATTGTGAATCAATTCAACTCTAATAAATGATACATTTCATATCACTTAATTATATTAAACTAAAATACAAAGGATTGTGTTACTTTGCAAGTAATGCTATTTGAAAAATGCCATTTCGTTTCTGCTCTATAAAACCGTCATTTACAATCCATCAAATCCAACCGCTCACCTATGATCAAAGTAACTATTTGAGAGTAGTCGTGTGTTATTTAATAAGATTATATTATAAGTAAATATCATTTTTAGTCCTCAGCGAATTTTACGATGCTCGATTTAGTCCCTAACAAATAAAAAGGCTCATTGTGGTCCCTAAGAAATTCAAAATGGACCAATTTAGTTGAAATCGTGGTTCCTCACAATTTCAAAAAAGGTCCATATTAGTCCTCAAAAGGACTAAAATGGGTTCATTTTGTATTTCTTAGGGACCACGGTGAGCCTTTTTATTTGCTAGGGACTAAAACGGGTATCGTAAAATTCGCTGAGGACCAAAAAAAGTATTTACTCTTATATTATATGAGAAAATTATAACTATACAAAGATGAATCAATAATAACAATAAGTAAAGAGAGAAAAAAAATTGAGCTAAATAGTTACAAAATCTTCAACATTAATTCATGTGTGATTATGATTCCCTCAATTATATTAAATAACATATAAAATGATCCATTTCCGTAACTGCTACATATTTGGGCTAAGTCAATCTTCTTCTTTTTTTTTTTTTTGGAGGTTACAAGGAATTGAACTCAACACCCTACACTACACACAATCCTAACACACACACCCCACACCACTAGGCTAACCCTAGTGGTAACTAAGTCAATCTTCTTGAATCAACTAAGTGTTGGTTAAGTAATGCACGTGTCAACAAAGCTCTCCTGGTAATATCCAAAAAAAAAAAAAAAAAAAAAACTCTCCTGGTAATATGTCATTTGTCAAAATTTATTTCACACTTCCATTTTTCAATAAAGACGCCCAATCAGAAGCTTTTCAAAAACCTTTTAAAATTTTGTTCCATTACCTAACGCTATATTTGGTTTATTTGATTTGCCTTTGCTATAGCGGTTGCGTGTGTTTATTAACAGAAAAAAAAAATCAAAATTACTATTGATAAATCTCTAACTTGGCCTGCCCTGATTAGACATGAGCAGTTGAAATTTCTAAGCAGGGTATATTTCTATTATGACACTCAAAATTTTATGCATTAACTTACGGGGTGTTTGTTTCAAGTTTTTGAAGAGGATTATCGGTAATTCTTCTTTGGTAAATGTAATTACCATGTTTAGTAGAAGGAATAAATTTCGATTCTCGGATATTCAAGGATTACCGGTAATTTGATTTATAAAGAAAAGTCACTATTCAGATTACTAAAAATAATATGGTAATTCGAAATACCAATCAGAATACCAAGTAAAAGAAAAGCACAACAATAAATTTTGAGACAAAAATACTCCAATACACATAAAAATCTAGACCTAATCTATCAATTACAAAAGTAAAAATAGTTTGGGGTTATTTTTGTAAAATAACCTCATATTCCAAGTCATATTTCGTTCTAAACCAAACATGAAGTCAGTAATTTTTATCCAATATTTCCGGTAATATTTTGACGAACCAAATACCTCTTTCGTAAGATTCCAAGTAAACTCAATTTCTACTGTATTCCCATTAATCATGAATCCCAGTCACCAAAAAATTTCTCCTGTACCAAACACACCCTACTTGTCTTCCTCTCTTGTAGATGTTCCAAATAAGGTTCTTTTCACTTCACCAAATGTTGTCAAGGAAATAACATTTTTTAAAGAGGAAGTAGTTCCATTGAAGAGATTCAAATTTGTCAAGCCTCTACGTGCAAGGAAGAAGCTTCTCGTTTCAAAGGAAAAAGTTACTCCGTTGAAAGTTCCAACCGCGCTAAACCTCCAAATTAAGGCCACGAGTTGTAATGTGTTGTTGATTTAGAAGAGCAATATGAAAGATGCTCTCACTGATTTATCTTTGCATTACTTGTTATATCTAATACAGTGAAAAAGTGTTAGAGATATATAATATAAAAATATTAATATGATATTCACTTAATATTTAAATTTTTGGATTGAAATAATTTATTCGTATTATTCATCTTTTAAATTCAATAGACTCTTTTGTGAAATCATTAATATGATATTCATTTAACAGTTTAAAGTTTTGGATTACAATGATTCTTTACATAATGATCAATGATGTAGAGACTTGAAAAAATTGAGAATATTCTTACTATATTAATTAAAAAAGTTAAATTACAAGAGACGAGAGGAACATTGAAATAAATCTGTGTAATATTGAATTGATACACAATGTACAATATATAGATACATTAATGGGCTTAGTCCAGACTTAACACAAATCCTAATGAAATAAGGAAATAGATATTTACAGATATACAAAAGATATTCTTTCTAACACTCCCCTCAAGCTGGAGCGTATAGATCATATGCCCCAAGCTTGTTACATATAAATTCTATTCGAGGACCCCTCGAAGACTTTGTAAATATATCTACTAATTGATCATTAGAGGGTACAAAACTAGTTGTAATTTCACCAGCAAGAACCTTTTCTCGAACAAAATGACAATCTATTTCTATATGCTTGGTTCTTTCATGAAACACTGGATTTGACAAAATGTGCAGCGCTGCTTGGTTATCACAAATGAGAGTTGATTGTCCAGTGTCTCCAAACTTAAGCTTTCTAAGAAGTTGTTTAAGCCAAATGAGCTCGCAAGTAGTAGTAGCCATGGAGCGGTATTCTGCTTCAGCACTTGATCTGGCAACTACATTTTGTTTCTTACTTTTCCAGGAGATCAAGTTGCCTCCAACGAAGACACAATACCTAGAAGTAGATCTCCAATCAGCTGGACAACCAGCCCAATCAGCATCAGAGTACCCAACCACTTTAACATGACCTTTATCTTCATATTCAAGGCCTTTTCCTAGAGATGCCTTGATATACTTAAGAATACAAATGACGAGATTTCAATGTTCTTGACATGAAGAATTAAGAAATTGACTGACCACACTAACTGCAAATGAAATGTCAGGCCGAGTGATTGTGAGGTAGTTCAATTTTCCAACCAATCTTCTATACTGCTCAGGATCTGAAAAGGGCTCCCCCTGATTTGGTAGAAGCTTGTCACTTGGATCCATAGGAGTATCAACAGAATTAGAATTTAACAAAGTAGTTTCTTCAAGAATATCCAGAGCATATATCCTTTGAGATATCACAACTCCATCTTTAGATTGGGCCACCTCGATTCCCAAGAAATATCGAGGTTTCCCAAGATCCTTGGTCTGAAAATGGTGACATAAATGTTGTTTCAACTGAGTGATCCCATGATTATCACTACCTATGATGATAATATCATCCTCATATACCAACAGGTAAATAGATCCAGAAGCTGAATGACGATAAAAGAGAGAATGATCAGCTTCACTCCGAGTCATGCCAAATTGTTAAACAACACTGCTAAATTTACCAAACCAAGCTCTTAG